AAGTGCCACGCTAGTAGTAACAAGTGCCTTACTACTAGTAACAAGAAACTATTAAATTTACTTTAATTTTAATTCAAATAGCTTTTTGTTACTACTAGTAAGGCACCTGTTACTACTAGCGTGGCACCTGTTACTAGTAGTAACAAGAAGCTATTAGGAACAAGCTCCTGGGTTTCGGCTTCTGCATCTTGTTCTTGCTGACCTGAACGACGAAGCACGACTGGTCCCCCGGACTGGTCACATCCGGCAGGGTACCCCCACCACGATGTCACATCCGTCCGGGGAGGAAGGCGATTTCGATGTCTTTGTGACCAAGATGTCCCTCTATGTTTCCAAGTTATGTTTCACATGTTTTTTCTATCTGGTGGGATTTTTCCATATCATGGAGTCACTGAGCATCCAGTTGCAGCAGAAACCGCTCTACATCGACATCGACCAAGAACATCAAGAGCTACAAAAGTTGAAGCCGAGCTGCACAAAGGGCTGTGTCATCCTTGACCTCAACCCCACCAGAGCGATAGACCTTGAGCGTTTTGTAGTTCAGCGGATCTTTTTGCTCACCTTTGTAGAGAAAACGACATGTCTCCTCACCTTGGCTAAGAAAGAGGAAGTGGAAGAAAAACACACTGGAAAACACAGCTAGGACCAGGAATGGATTGTGATAAACATGTACTTCACAGGACAGTGAAGGCTTGATCCACAACCCTTTTCGTACGATGGCAAGCGACCACCAAACAAGTAATACGTCATGAGCTACATTCCTTTGCACCGAATGGAGAGGCAAAGGAGGACTCACAAGCCATATCGCTTTGGGCTTCTCCTTCGTCCATTGGCCTTTGCATTGCCTTACTAGTAGTAACAAGAAGCTACTAGCGATGGACTTGTTCCTACAAGCGCGCCAAACCCACGGTAGTTCCAAGTCACAAACATAGTCCGACTCTGGAAGCTGCGAGAGAGTCCTACAAGGACGCTACTAGGGGCTCCTGGCATCCCTACTCTTAACAAGAAGCTACTAGAGCCTCCTGGCCTTACTACTAGGAGCAAAG